CACCCCTTCCTTCAACCAATCAGGGAACGGCTCCAAGGGAGCGCGCGAGGTTTCCTTCCCCGCGCACCCGTTCTCACCGTTAAACGGCTGCGTCCCGCGACAATCCTAAAGTGACCTTTCCCCCTCTCCAGAGTTCCACGCGCGCTCGGGGCAGTGGGAGGGGCAGGTTTCGCGAAGAGGTTGGTGGGAAAAAAACGCACCTCTTTCCCCGCCTCGCGCGCTCCCCTGGAGTGGCTGCGCGCGCACCTGCCTCCCTAAGGAGACGCTAATGCCACAAGGGCTCTTTCTAGCCTTAAGCCACGGAAGGAGCCTCGACCTTCTCCTGCCTCCACCCCGATCCCACTTTCCTGTATGTGGCCTTTCTGTCCCCAGCGTTGCCAGGTCTTGCAGGGAGAAGGGGAAATTTTTTTGAGCTGTCGCTTCTCCTTTAAGAAAAAAAGCGCCGTTGCTGCCGGATGAAAGTCTCTGAAAAAATGGCGGCGGTAGAACAGAGGCGGGGTCGTGAGGGCATGGAGGGCCCGCCTCTTCGGCGCATGCGCATAGTCAACTTGCCCAAAAGCGTCCTGGGAGGTGAAGTCCTCCCGATCCTACGGTTTAGGGGAAAAGATAGGAAACCAGAGGCGAAGAGGTTGCCGGGAGTTTTTGACTGATGCACGACGGGAAAAGTAGTTTTTTCCCTCAGTCCTAGTGCACTGTTCCCGGGAGGCAGTGTTTCCGGGTTAAGGGGCGACACCTGTGCAGATCCAGGCGCAAATTTTTAGCCCGTTGCCCGTCAGGATTTCCCGGGAAGGTTTCCCCTGCTCTGTTTCTTGCCGCCGGCGAAGCACCTCCAGGGCGGTCGCGCAGCAGCCCGCCCCTCGGCTTCGGTGCGGCGGCCCTGCCCTGGCCCGGCTGGTGGTCATGTCTGCCGTCTCCGTCTCGTCAGCCCGCGGCTGACCCACCGCCCCGCGAGCCCCTGGGGGTCAGGGCCCGAGTCCGGTTCCGTCGGGCCCTCGGGGGGCCTGCCCACCCATTGTTTGATCCTTAGTAAAAGTTTGTGGAAATTCGTGGAGTTGCGTTTCTGCCAGACATGGCGTCGACCGCTCAGCTCGGCCGCGGTCGCGGGGCTCAGGGAAGGTAACGTGGCTGAGTCACCCACCCTCAGGCTCCCGCCCCGAAGCCACCTGCGCCTGCGGTTTCTCAGTGTCGCTGCTGCACAGGAAGCACGGTCAGATGAGCACTTCTGTCAGAACTTCTATTCTGCCCCAGAGCGAGTGCGACGACGTCGTCCTCATGCGATTAACGGGCGTTTCCTTTTGCTGGTGGACCGGCTGAGTGCGGCCGGGAGCGGCCTCGCGCCTTCCTCTGCCTTCGCCCCTTAGGACCACGGAGCGATGGGCAGGACCGCCTTACTACCCCCGGAAAAGAAGGCACCCGGGGGTACAACACCCAAAGAAAGCGGGTGGAAACAAGATCTGGGGAATCCGGTTCTCAATTTCACATGAATCGTTCAGTTAAAGCCGCAGATGCAGCGCAGTGTTTGCAAGCCAAGCCCGAGGTGCATTTCTTCCTTCCAGCGCTTGGGCTCAGCGACCACTTCAGATTAGGCAAATGTTTTCTATTTCCTATGGAGTGTTTTGCACTTTCATGGGGCTAATGGCACTTCAGTTGCAAAAGCTGGCATAGCGTGGGTGGGAATTTTTTGCAGACGCGTGTGTTGGGGCAGCACTGACATCCTACGGCTGCCCAAAGTAATGCAGAGTGGGAGTCTCTTTCCATAAAATAAAAATAGTCTTCAGAGTCACTAGGGAATGGAGAATGAATGATTCCTTTAGATCATCTAAAGGAAAGGCCTCTGTGTAACAGAGGAAAGCGCACAGGCTTTGCAGTTAAATGTAGATTATAATAGGTTGAAAAGCCACCTATTTATTACTTTAGCAAGTTACTATTCCTTGACTCTATTTCACCACTGGTAAAAATGGGGGTAATATCTATTTCACGGGACCATAATTATGGTTCTTTACATACCGCCTTCCCATAGGAGGCCTTTGTAAATGTTTTATTTTGTTCAAGGTGAATAAAATCCGTGATTTTTAAAAAAAAGTAAAAGGTAACCTCAGCATCACGTTTCAGAAAACCGCTGTAAAGCAATTCCTAGGTAGGAATTATGCTCAACTGAGATCTCTGCAGCTTAGCACCTTGTGTCTTAAATCTTCCAGTCCCATTCTTCTTGTCTCCTGCAGTTGTCTGCATTTTGAACCCCTGAAATAAACTAGGCCCCAAGAATCCGAAAGTAAATACACCTCAGCCACATTTCATGAATTTACAACCTGTCCAGGAAGTCAGATAAACATAATTTCTGCATAGTTAAATAAAGATAAAATGAATTGGGTGCTGGTTAACTCTGATGGTCAAACTATCTTGGTCCCCCAGCTTCAAAGGAAAAAAAAAAAAAGCAAGTTTCCTGATGCACAGCCACAGTGGGATATCCACAGTCGGGGGAAACACAAGTGCCAATCTGCCATTCCCAGGAATCCAGATGAATTCTGGCCTGTAGCAGGTGCTCAAATGTTGCAAAATTAATTTTGAATCTTAATTGCCCTGGCCAGTGTACCACCTGAATTCCAATTTTACTACCCGCCTTCCTATGTCAGTCCCATTTTGGAAACTCTGACCTGTAAGAAACAAAGAAAGAAAAAAAAAACACACAAAAAAACTCACTAAATCAAAAGAGAGGAAGTGCTGAGCAAATACAGGAACCAGAAAGGGTTATAGAGGCTGCTTCGCACCATCTCATTCAGTTCCTTTGCGGTCCCCCTCTTCAGCACCGACCAAAGCAGTTCCTCACACCTTGTGGCACCAGAGCATCTCGGATGCGAGGCAATGGAAGAGCTGGGTGAGTGACGAGCTTCTTGGTAGAGAAACTCAGAGGGAATAAAGACTCGGCTGCCATCCCCCTGTGTGGTGGGGCCTGCTGCTAGCCAGATGGAGGGTAGTGCTGGAAGACTTCATTTTCACTTCTCTCCTGACCTCAGCTCACCAAGAGTAAAGCATGAGGAACTACGATTGTTTGGGGAAATATGGGTTCACTGTTTCTGTGGCACAAAAGGCGGCGAGTTTGGTGCTAACCACAGAGTAAGCTGCACACAAATCCTTTTGGGTTGAATTGAGATTGAAATGGTCATTTTGTTAAGAGCATTTGCCCTTTGGGAGCTACTGGAGATCATAGAGTGATCACACAGTAGGCAACGGCAGAGATGTGATTTGAGGAGAAAAAGAAAGAAATGAGTGTTTGTGAGGAGAAGAAACAGGAGTACAAGAAGGAGGGATTCACAAAGGTTGGAGAAAGGCCAGGGTGGTTTCATTTGTTCTGTGATTTAGTGTTAAATCTAGACGACACAGCACTGTAACTCCAGGGATTGCGTTGCTCAGCTTTCTATGGCCTGCAAATATAATACCTCCTCCCATTCCAAAGCAATGAAAAGCAGCAGTGAATGATTGGCCACATTGCTCAAGAGAGATCCCTCATTTCAAAGTATGGCAAGGTTTGTCATTCTTGGGAACTCACTCCATAGCCTTTGCCAAGTTTCGTTGCTGATGTCTTATTAACACTGAGTCACTAACCCAATTTCCAAGCTGTATTAATTCCGCAGTGGCCTAGGGTTTTGTACATTTGGGGCATATCAAAAGTGCAAACAACAAAAATACATCTTGCATATTGTCTTTTTAAAAAATTGTTTGGGGTGTAATCTGAGAGTCGGAGGAATAGAGGAAGGAAAGCAAGTTACAGGAAGGCCTAGGAAAAGGCGGTATTTGATAAATACAGATTGGACTGTTTTGGAGGTAAAGTCTATTTTGACACTTGGGGTAGAATCCGCATTCGTATCCTGTGTGAGGACTGGGGAATTTCACATTTCTACCTGAGTTCCACTAGAGTCCAGCTCTGCTTTTTTATGTTAAGGATACCTAATGGCCTTCATGCAGATAATTCAAAAAGCAACTAATACTTTTTCAGTCACTTAGACATTTTTACATATGCTAATCATTTTAGTGTCTGAAACGATCCTCTAAAATGGGTATTGTCCACCTTTTTCCCCCTCAAAATGAGAAAACTAAGAAAAGCAAAATAACTAGTTCAGCGTCACTTTCAGGAGCACCTGACACCAAAACGGACTAAGCTATGAGGTATTCTATTTTAGAAATGTGTTGGCTTAGGTGTTCTGGCTGATAGAATGACCCAGATAATAAAAACAATAAATAAATATATTTGCACATTTTGGCATTTCTTGAGCAGGATAAATGGTAGAGAAATCTGGTCCAGAATTGTAGAAAGAACCACGAAGGCTGGAAGGTAATATTCCTGTAGATGATTCGGGTGGCTACGCCTCAGCCACCTCTTCAACTTGTCCTCAGCCCAATAGCTACCTAAGGACCTAGGGTGGGTCTCTCTTCCTGCTGGGGAGAAGTAGCTTGGAGGACAGGTCCACACAGGTATTCCTGTGTTTCCTCTCTGCATCCTTCATTACACAGGGATACGAGATAAAGAGAAACCAGGAGCAGGCTCTGGCTCTGAATGAAATTGCTACAATCCAGTGAAACACCCCCTCTGCCCCCCCAAGAGACCTTGCTTTACAAATCTTTTCACGTTAATACTGATAATTATTTGATTTCTGCAGATGAAGGGCTACAGAGGACTGTAGAGTTTTCAGTCTAGGGCTCCCCCACCACCAGTCATCCTGTATTTGTCATACTGAAATTTGTCATCTTCAAATTACGGAATCTGGCAAAAAGGCAAGATGATCTTGGGGTGTTGGTGATATGCTCACTCAGGAAACAGGAAGAGAAGGGCCTGTCAGCTCATGACCCAGGGAGGAGAGTTTCAGTAACTTTGGCTACGGGTCTCAGGGTAACCTTCTATTCCTAGTGGTATGGTGTGTTTCTCTTTTAGAGGGTCTCCCCTCTCTCTTAATCCTTATTGGGTTTTTGTTGTTGTTGTTGTTTTAATATATCTTTATTGATTTCAGAGAGAGGAAGGGAGAGGGAGAGAGACAGAGAAACATCAATGATGAGAGTCATTGATCGGCTGCCTCCTGCAAGCCCCCGACTGGGGATCTAGCCCACAACCAGGGCCTGTGCCCTGACCGGGAATCGAACCGCGATCTCCTGGATCCTAGGTCGATGCTCAACTGCTGAGCCACGCCCAGCCTGGCCTAATCTTTATTGTAAATGCTTTTTTATTTTGANCTAATCTTTATTGTAAATGCCTTTTTATTTTGAATCCAAGAGGGTCCATGACTTCTGGTTGGAGCACTGTTTAGAAAATACAAAAGAAAGGAACTATATCTTGATAGAGGATATAGACTAAAATTTTGGAACTCAGAAATTTGGCGTTCAGTCTGGCTAGGAAAGCTGTGAGAAAAGAAGTTTTACTTTATCTTTCTACCTCAGTTTTTGCTTTCTCTTTTATTCTTTTAAAAACTTTTTATTATAGAGAATTTTAAAATATGCAAAACTAAAGAAAATAGTTTGATGAAATCTGATGTACCCATCAATCAGCTTTAATTATCAAGTCCTGGCCAATCTTATTTCATTTATAGACTCATCCATTCCTTTAATTCCTGTATTATTTTAAAGCAATCTCAGACATTATATAATTTCATCTGTAAACATTTCAGCATAATCTCTAAAATAAATCTGTATATACTTACACAAATAACCATACCATTGGCACACCCACAAAATCTTTAATAGTAATTCCTTAATATTATGAAATACCATTATCACACCTAAAATATTAACAGAAATTATCAAATATTATCATGCCTAAAATAAATTAATAGTATTTACTTAATATTATTAAATATCCAGTNCACACCTAAAATATTAACACAAATTATCAAATATTATCATGCCTAAAATAAATTAATAGTATTTACTTAATATTATTAAATATCCAGTCAGTGTTTAATATTCCTGATTGTTTCTTTTTTGTTTGCTTGTTTATTTCTGTCCTTATATCATTTTAAGTTAAGGTTCATATACTAGAATTAGTTACAAGCTTCTAAAGCCTTCTTTAATCTATTGGTTCACCCTCAATCTCTTTTTTCATTACTATTTATTTGTTGAAGTGTAATTTCTCCTGAAGAATATAGCTCAGTTTGCTTATCTCTAAAATGATGCATAAAATTCAATATTTTTGTGAAATGGATGATTTAGAAATATATGTAGATTTTTTAAAATTAAACTTATCATGGTGACATTAGTTAATAAAATTATATAGTTTCAAGTGTACAATTCTTTAATACATCATCTATATATTGCATTGTATGTTCACCATCCAAAGTCAGATATCCTTCCATTGCAATATATTTGACCCCCTTTACCCTTTGTTCATTCGTTGCTTTCGGTTTTATATCCCACATATGAAAGATCTGTAGCTTTCATTTGTAAGAAAGCTTAGATCTTTCCTAATGCCATCAAGAAATATCCATCCCTCCTGAAATAAATGAGAATCTTTTTTTAATAACGTGTGAAGTTCATTTCCTTCACCTGAGGACTTCAGAGCTAGGCGGATCCTTAGAAGTAATATAACCCAGTGTTTTGCAAACTTTTAAAAACTAAAACGTGTAATAAGGAAACCACGAGAGATCCACTAATAGGTCTTGACCCACTAATTGCTTCATTATGTAGATGAAGAAATAGCTTCAGAAAAGTACATGCCATGCCTAGATGACCCAGAGAATCCATGTGAGAATGGGGACTGGAATTACTGATGTGAAGTTAGTCTTGGGGGCTGGTGATCAGATAGCCCCAGGTCAGACAGCCAGGTTCTGAACTCAGTAACACTGTGAAATCAAACAATTTATTTGGCTATTTCTTAGTCTGTAAAATAAGCATAATAATATCACCTGCCTCAAAGAATTAAAATAACTAAATTAAATATATAAACTCCTGACCACATTGCCTATCATATATTAATTTTATTATTAATTTCATCATAAAAGAAAGATAAAATTGTAATACTTGTAGTAGAGTCCATTGTCCTCCCCCCCCCCAAAAAAAAAAAAAAAAAAAAAAAAAAAAAAAATACCAGAGAAACAATCTCAACTATTTGGATTGCAACATCTTGCGTGATTTTGTAATACCTCTTTTTTCCCCCCAATCTCCTTTTCTCCCCAGACCCTAAAAGACAGACTACTTATACTCTCTTTTGAGAATTTTGTTATGTGCTTGGGATATAAGAAAAAAAAAATCATAAAAGTTAAGAATAAGTGTTTCTGTCCTGGTATATTTTTTAAAATTAATATCATTGCTTATATTTTTCTGACAGGAAAAATATGTAGAATTTGCTTTTTTTCTAATTGAGGATCTTTATGAGTGATTCACCCCAAATAAATGACAAAAATTAATACCTTGCAATAAAATAAGTCAAATTATAGAGTGAGGCTATGAAATCAAATGCAACCATAGGAAATAAGAAACAGGCCACAGCATGTGGAGGCTTTAAACATCTTCTGGTAGAACAGACCACAGAAGTGTGGTTTGGAAGGAAAAATGAGTAAGGGAAGATGTTTTCAGGAAAATAGCCTTGACCCAAGAGAAGAGGGAGATGAATGGAAGCACAGAGGGAGCTATTTAAGGGGGAAATTATTCCAGAAGACTTCCATGCTCTATACTATGATGCCTTGTGTGTTACGATGTAGATGCTTTATTGGAGGAACTGGAACGCTCCACCCTCCAGGACGGCAGTGAACCCTCCAGCCCCGCTCCTCTTCCCGTGGGTCCGCCTTCCAGCAAAGACAGTGGCCGTGCTGAGACTGCAGGCAGCCCTTCTGTGCAGGATGACACAAGCCCCTTGCAGGTAACTTTTCGTTCACTGGAGTGACTTGAATATGGATGCTTGAGTGCTTTCTGGAAAAGAATTGTGCCTTCCATAAAGCAATGTGAAAGGACAATCGTATATTCAAGGAAGAGAAAAAAAAAAATCCCTCAGTGATAACTTAAAGGTGGTTGGTTTTGGAAAGAGTGCTTTCTCAATTAAAAAAATATATATATGATCTACAGAGAAATATCAGTTAAGAGTGTTGACAATTTCAAAAATATGAACCATAAAATGCAGCTTTGCAGAAGATTGCAGTTTTATAAAAAAAGATAAAATATAAAAACAAATTAGAGGGTATTACTCTAAGTGAAATTAGTCAGAGAAAGACAAATACCGTATGATCTCACTTATACGTGGAATCAAAGGAGCAAAGTAGATGAACAAACAAAATAGAAACAGACTGAGGGTCGCCAGAGGGGAGGGGTGTTGGGGAACCTAGTGAAAAAAGTGAAGGGATTGCGAAGTACAGATTGAAGTTGCAAAATAGTCATGTGGCTATAAAGTACAGCATTGGAAATATAGTCAATAATATTGTAATAATTATATATGGTGCCAGTTGGGTACTGGAAATATCAAGGGCTTTGCTCTGATTCATTTTGTGTGTTTTATGCTTTCTATCTGAGTACCTCTTTATTTCGGTGCTTTTAGGGCAAGGAGAGGGGCACTATTTGTTCACATGACAGCTACTCCGCTTAGAATGTGGCTTTTCTCTGTGGGATGGCTGATATTCCTCTGCCTTGTAAAAGGAAATCTCAGAGATATGCTGTACCCTTTAGAAGCTAAAACCATTGTCTAATTCTGGGTGTAGATAAGCGCTAACATTCCACCAACAGTCATCCTCTGTCACTCTGTCTTAGGTGCAGCTCGTGTACACTACTGATATCAAGGGGCCTCATGTCTACAGGTATTTTTTTTATTATTAAATATTTGAGAAAAATAAAGTTATAAGATAATTGTTATCAATCTGTGTTTGGACAATGCTTTGCTTAGAACTACTACTACCCTCCTCTTCTTTCCATAGTCTTTGAGCAGAGGTGGGACTCTGCCAAGCTGGCTGGGGAGTTCCCACAGTGCCGTCTAGACGGGTGTCCAGGCTAATGGGCTATGCGGTTTCCTTCACCACCTGAAAAAGTGTATGTAGTTTAAATCATCACAGATGCTTTGGCCCAGCTCTTCCAGGTCACAGAAGGGAAAACATCAAATGAAAATTCAGCAAGATGTTCACAAAATCAGAGCTAGCATCATAGTTGAACCCTGACAGTGGGTCTCCATGGCAGACTAATGAAATAGACTTCTTCTTTCCATATTTGCTCAAAATTCATTTAGTGAATGGAGGGATTGCCTTTTAAGAAAAGTTACAGATTGAAACATATTCACTTACTAAGTCATGGCCAAAGCAGAATTGATAGTCTGTAAAAAATAAAAGGACCACTTTTCTTGTTCTTTCTTCAGTTATAGCTTGAAATTTAAAGTCAGACAACATTCTGGGGAACAAAATAAAAGCCTTACAATAAAGATAGTAAAGGCTCATGCTTGGTAAAGAGTACTATGCCACACTTTATTTGGTTTCAGAATTGCAGCCAATAGTGCGCACACGATGCCAAAATAAGGAGAGGATCTGTGCTATCAAAAAGTCTTTTTATAGCTTCCCACTTGAGGACACTTTCTACTTTGATGGGAGGGAAGCCAATTTATTAATACAATTGCCAGTGTGTTCCAGTTCCAGGAAGTTGCCTGGTGGGCATGCCCCTAGACCTCCCTGCCCACCCCCTTGTAAAAAAAGCAAACAAAGCAAAACAACAACAGAAATACAGTGCCTGGTGCACAATAGGCTCACAGTAAATATATGGCTTTTTAAATGAAGGAAACCAAGACTTTAATAGAAACACTAATGAACCTGTGAACATATAACATGAAAACCAGCCCAACCAAGCAGCCATTTCCTGTCTGGCTAGCATCGTGATCAATTGATGGCACGCCAATACTAACTTATCAATGACCCCTCCCCTACGAGTCTTTGATAGGTTTCCCATCAGACCCATTCCTCCCTCTTCTCTTGCTCTGTTCTGTGTTCCAGGGGAGCTGGCCCCTGTGGCTGGGATTGTCCAGGCTCTAGGGGCAATTGTCTCTCTCTGGCTTCAACCAATGGGAGGCGCTGTTGAGAGACTGGAGGGTGAAAGGCAAAGACATTTAATACATTTCTCCCCCAGTTTCTCTCCACAGTCTCCATCTTCAGTTACACCTTTGTTATGGCTCCAGCTGGAACAAAAATAGGTCTTCTATGGTCCAGCACATGCCTGTTGACCCGGGCCCCTGGGCTCTGGTCACTTTGCCTCTTTGCTTTGTCCTTTTGGCCTAATGACTTCCTGCTGTGGTTAATCTCTGGGTTCCTTCAATGTCTTCTGTTTGCTTTTTTAGCTCTCCCATCACCTGTGTAATAAAATTGCTGGGTTAAATTCCTTCTACTTACTCCCAATGTTTGTATTTTCCTGAGTGGACCTCAACTGACACGCTTCCTGTTACTGAATGGTGCATACTGTGTAGAGCTTTATGAGAGAGTGAGATGAAATCCAGGTGACCTAGGAAATATGCAGTAGACTGATACAAATCCTCAGGGCTGGTGTAATTCAGACAGACAGGGCTGGCAAGTACAAGCAGAGCGTGAGACCACCATTTCCTGTGGTTTGCTTAAAGGAAGCAAACGCTGCTCTGGACCTTGAAAGCATATTCAATACTAGTTGTAAGTATAACAATGTAATAATATTTCTAGTATAGCGACATATCAGTAGCATTGTGACCAATAATTTAGAAATGTCTCTCTTCCATGCACAAAAGTAATTTTGGTAAGAAGAGGGAGAAACAAGTTATTAAAATACTGCAGAAAAAAGGACAGGGGAGAAAAATCGAGCACAATGAAGCCTCTCACTTGAGAAGTCGGGGTTCTCTTAAACACAAACTTTGTGATTTATATTATTAAAATCTCTGAGAAGTGAAATAAGTTGTTACTGATGGCACAGCAAAGCACCTGTCCCATCTTCAGGAGGTCAGGGGGCAAATCAAAGGTTGCTATAGTGATGCAGTCATCAGCCCATTTCTTACTTAGAATGTCATATTGTTGACTTGATTACTATTAGGGGGTCATGACAATGATTTACCTCCCTTTATACACTGCACTAGGAGCCTAGTTAAAAACCAGTGAGAATTATTTGAATAAACACGTGTATGCCCCCGCTGTGAGAAGGACAGGTTTTAGGATTCTACAAACCCACATAAAAAACTACATTTTTCCTCCCCTGAGGCACAGGGCAGCAGAATGTGCTCACTGTCCAGCTGCCTTTTGTATGAATCGGCCACTTGGATACCTGACCATTTTTGTTCCCAGATTGAAAGGGAAAAAAATCTTATGTCTGGCAGGAGGCCATGTTGTACCTAAAAGATGAAGTCTTCCATCTTAAGAGGAGAAGACATCCACCTTCCTCCCGCGTGTCCCTTGTTGTTAAATACCCAACATAAGTGAGTCAATAGTGTGACATGTCGTACCCAAGAGACAGTCTTGTTTTTCTTAAGAGAGAAAGAGAAACATTTTCTTCCTGCTTTTTTCCTGGTTGGTAAATAAATAAAAATAAATAAAGTAGTAAATCTAAGTTTTCATTGTTGAAAATATATTTAGTGAAAGACAGAATGTTTGGCTGTGTGTGTGTGTGTGTGTGTGTGTGTGTGAGAGAGAGAGAGAGAGAGAGAGAGAGAGAGAGAGTCAGTTTGGTGGGCAGTTAGCTAAGCTCACTTGGTTAATGTTGATTACAAGCATTACTTGAGTCAGTTGCCTGAATGATCCAGTTTTTCTACTTCTCAAAATTTCCTCTATGGAAATAATCAAGTATGGGTACAAATATTTATTTAGCAGTATTAATAAGAGCAAAAATCAAAAACAGTCTAAGTGTCTAACAATAAGTGATTGGTTTAATAAATCATGGCACATTGTACTTTTGAAAACTAGATAGCCTTTAAACAGTATTTGGAAGATAATCTAGCATGGCGATAGAGAACATAAGCTTTGAAGCCTGCAGGCCCAAACTCTGTTATTTACCAGCTGTTTTTACCTTCTCTAAGCCCCAGGTTTTTCACCTGGGAGTGACAGTACCTCACTCTTAAGGCTGTTATAAGGATTTAAAGAGGACCTGTATAAGCCCTTTACAGAGGGCCTGGCTTAGTGTAAACACTCAATAAATGTTAGCTATTTTGGTTTTAAAGGACAGATGAGGATTCATCTGAAGGGTATGGAAAAACATCTACCTTTGACAAAGGAATGGGGGTTGGGTTTGCTTTCAACTGCTTTTTAGCACCTATCAATGTGTTTATAAAGTGTTTCTCTTCTGCATTACTATAACGCATTATATTAATCCTTTTAATGATGTTGAACCATCCTTGGATGACTAGTATAAACACTACCTAGCCATGGTATTTTTAAACACACTTCTGCTGTTTTTATTTCCTCCCCTCCCCTCTCCTCTCCCTCCTTTCTTCTCTCTCTCTCTCTCTCTCTTTCTCTCTCTCTCTCTCTCTCTCACACACACACACACACACACACACACACACACACACACACACACACACGCCAGTATTTGAACAGAATCTGTATTCTGTGTCTTGGGTCCAAAATTTTATATATTAATATTTTACTCATAATCATATAGATCTAAACTCAACATCATGTGCGTTATCTAAACTCTATTAGGAGTCTGCACACTTTTCTGTAAAGGGCAAATAGTAAATAGTTTAGTTTTGTAGACCATAAGGTCTCTCTCTGTCACAGCTGTCCAGCTCTGTAGGAAAACAGCTGTAGACCGTATGAATGGGCATGGCTGAATTTGGCCCAGGGACCTCAGTGTATGGATGGATGCCTGCCTGTTCAGCTTCTCATTTATTTTTGTCTCTCACCCAATAATAACTGAGAGAAGATCTAATACTTTAAAGTTGTAAAACAAAGTCATTAAATAAAAAAAGCAAACACATACACATTTGGGGCCACGGTCCTAAAGCACTTTTCAGAGCCTACTTTGCACCTGGCCCTGAAAAGCCAGGGGCAAATGGCCTGCCAGCTACATGTCCAGTGCTTTTCTTCATATCCTTGAGAACAATAGTCAGTTTTTGAGATGAGCAGAGAGGGAGACACAGAGACACATTTTTAGTCTAGTACCTATATTTTAAAATACTGTCTGTGTCTAGTTTTACTGACATCTAAGTGTTTAATAGTTAAAACTACATTTTCTAATATTTTATGTGTGACTTAACATTTATTTGAGTTTTGATGCATTAGTATGAATTTTTGTTTTCTCCCCATAGCGACATCCAAGAGCCAAAGGAATCACCACCACCTTCCAAAACCTCAGCAGCTGCTCAGTTGGATGAGCTCATGGCCCACCTGTGTGACATGCAGGCCAAGGTGAGCACAGTCCCTGTGACAAATCCTTCAGGTTTATCTCTTTGGAGCTCAGCTTTGTGCTATGTATTTATCTGGGCACAAAAGATACTATGATCCAGGCACTGATCTCAAGGAGCTTAGTGTGTGCTTGGTAAAGTGAGGCAAAAGCCTCTGTCACGTTTATAGAATAAAAGACAGGTGGTTTATCGAAATATGTGGCGCAAACATCAGGAATGTAGAGTGGTCAAGGAGATTTCATCAGAGGTGGGCATGGGTATGAGATAGACTCTGAAGAATGGAAAGTGTTTGGACTCAAAGAGATGAGAGAGGAGGTCCTTCTAGTTGGAGTGAGCCCTGAGGGCACTGGCTTCTAATGCTGGATAAAGTGCGGCAGGACTGTTAAGGGGACCTGCCTGAGCAGGATAGAGGAATGCTGTGGACAAGCTGGGGCAGAGCAAGAGAGGTTAAGTGTGACTTTCACAATAGGAAGCATGAGGGGTCCCAAGCCCCAGAGGGAGATAAAAATCCATCTCCTTGTTCCAGCCTCCAGAGCATGAGTGGTGAGCCCATGTGGCCTGGCAGGGAATGAAAATCAGATAAATAGGCTTAAGAATTTATCAAGGGAAATAGCATCTAGAATTCCTAAAGTAGAGAATACAGCCATTCTAAATTGGTTGGAGGATCTGATACACACACATCAAGTGACTGTGAAATCATTTCAAGGCAGTATGTAAAAATGTGTGTGATTGGGGAGGGTAAGAACCTTATCTTTGTGGCTCACCGTTGGACTCCTAATACTCAGCACAGTTCCTGACACATTGTGAATATACAACTTATTAGAGGGACAGATAAATAAACACCAGAAACAAGTTTTCTTTAATGCCTATAATAAAGCTGAGTGCATTCCTCATTGCGCTGTATATCTGGAAATACTAGGAAAAAAATCTACTTTAGGTTTAATTGTGTGGTATTTTCTAATTGACTTAGCATGTGCCTTGGTTTATTTACACTTGAAAATAGCTGTTTATTTTTAAACAGGCAATACATTCACATTGTATAAAAATCAAAAGTACACAAGTTTGCAACGAACTATTTCTTTATCAGTTCTGTCCCCAGCTATCCAGTTCTGCTCCCAGAGGTAGTCAGTATATCCTGTTTCTTACAGATTGATTCAGAAGTGTTCTGGAATATATGAGCAAATAGAGATAGATGTAAATGTAGATGTAGATATAGATATATTATTGTGTTTTTACTTAGTTATTTTTCTTATTTAATATTGGTCACCTTTGCAGGCCTTTTAGACGTTAATCTTTTGAACACTAATCTTTTCAACTTTAACTAACATCGTATAATAGAGGGGGAAGGAAATCCGTCAGATGCTAAAAGTTTCTAGAAGGGAAATGAGCATTTTGGATTAGTGAGATATTGTGAGGTTATTCCTGGTAGTAAAGATAGGAGGAGCAGAGGCCTGAAGTCAGACTGGGACGGATCACACTCGGGAGCCTGCAGGGAACCCAGCTGGCTGTGCACAGTGGAGGCCTGTTCCTGAGTGGCAGGCGGCAGGGCTGGAGAGGTGAGGGGCGCGGACGGAGACTGGGGCGTCTGTGCGAGGAGTGCGGGTGCGATGCTGGGAGCAGCGGGCAGTCACTGCGGCCTCGGGGCAGGGAGTATTGGGCGCCGGTGGCAACAGCCCGGTTGGAAGGGAGCTGAGAGAGACGGAATCAGGACTAGAGCTGATGAAGGATAACTTGGGCATCTTTTCTGTGATTTGAGGCTTTTCCTTTGAATGTTTAATAATAACTATTTTGGGAATTTTGCTTCAGTAACTACAGTCCATCAGCAAGTCTTACCTGATGACTTCTCACCACCTTCTCCACTAACACTGGCCCAAGTCATTATTTCTGGTTTCAGCCGTTACCAAGTCTCCCACCTAACTATTGCCTCTGATTCCACTCTACGCTTAATTCCTCACTCAGCTACCACCGGGGTCTTATAAGTCAGATTCTTTCACCCTTCACTGGCTCCACCACCCTTGGGATAACACACACCAGGGTAAAAATGTGATAATTGTGATCTTTGCCTCCAGGTCCATTATCTCCTCCTGCCACACTCAGTCTCACTCCCTGTGCTCTTGCCCCACTCACCTTTCTTACCGTTCTTCTAATGTACAAACTATTTCCTTCCTCTGGGCCTCCCCTTCCTCTGGCATGCTTTTCCCACAAATATCAATATTTCTGAGTACCTACGTAAATCACTCAACTGTCCACTCAAGTATTACATCCTTAGAGGTCCTTCTTCAAATACCCTCATCACAGTTCTTCCTTACCATCCCACCCTCTGTCACTTTTATCTCGATTTATATAACTTATATCTTATTTCTAACTGACATTGCATTATATTTATTTTAATTGTTTATTGTCTATCACCCAGAGAATGTAAACTTCATGAGGGCAGACACTTGGTTGCTCTTGTACATTGTCTCTACCAAGATCCAGCCTAGAGCAGGGATTGGTACAAACTAGATGCTCAATAAACACTGCAGAATAAATGAACAACAAGAAGATTGTTGACCTGTGGCTATCGCAAGAGCCAGAAAAAGTATTATCTTCGTCCACTCCTATGGTCAGAAAAAGATTTACTGAAGATTAGTCAGATTTCATTCTGCTTGAGGAATTTAGGATGAAAAAGAGATGAAAGCATTTGTATTGGTGTTACAATGTTGGATTCTTCCATACCTTGGAGGAAAGTTCAGGAAAGACTAAAGGGTCTGTCAGTAGAGGTGAGTTCATAGGGTCATGAAGAAGATGCCATTGAGGATAAATGTCCACGAGGCTGACTTTCTTCATGCTTCTCTCCTTGGTACCAGGTTGCAGTGAAAGTAGATGCCAACAAGAAGTACTTACCAGACAAGCAGGAGCACAAGGACTCCCTGGACTCAATGCTGGGGGGTTTGGAGCAGGAATTACAGGATCTTGGGATCACCACAGTGTCCAAGGGCCATTGTGCTTCCTGCCAGAAACCAATTGCTGGAAAGGTGGGACGAGCCAAGATGTTGGTCCTACAGCCAACTATGTCTGTGTGTCTGTCTCTGTCCCACCAAGGATTGCTCTTTCTCCTTGTATTCCAAGAGACTGTAATAATCGTTAATAACCACTGATCACTTACGGAGCTCTGGGCACCGAGCTAAGTGCTTTACAGGTATTTCTTCACTTAATGGTCACATGAGTCCTTGAGGGAGACTCTAGTATTGTTCCCTTTGTAAAGATGAGGAAACTGAGGCTCAGGTCCAAGGTCTAGTAAGAGGTAAAGCTAGGATTTGCACCGAGGAGAGTCAAACTCCTGAGTTTAAGCTCTTGACCACTTTTCTGTGCTGCCTTCACTGAGAGGAGCTTTCTCACTGCTCCCTCTGTGCAAACATTTCTCGTTTCAATTGACTCCATATGATTTTCGGCTCCAAATCATGGCCACTCACTGCTGCTCTGCATCATCACCAAAACCACAACAGGGCTGTGAGACCCGACTGCGTGGGCCTGAGATGAGCTTCTCAGCCGGGAGGAATAAACCTGTCGCTTGGCCTTTTCCCCTTCCAGGGGTCCATTCCATGCCAAGGCTGTAGTCGTCCCTTGTCTATCACTACTGCGCTCTATTTTGTTTCTCCCACCGTCTGGGGCAGTCTAGTGGTAAGGAACATTTACAGGCTTTTATCAGCATGAACAAGAACAGCGTAACTCCAGGGGTGTCATTGACTCAGAATACAGAGTGCCCGCTAGAGATGTGTGACCTGTAGGCCCTAGAGCACCCTCCTGGGCTCTCACGCCAGGCTTTGTTTCATCCTTCAGGTGATCCATGCTCTGGGGCAATCGTGGCATCCAGAGCACTTCATCTGTAGTCACTGCAAGGAAGAGATTGGCGCCAGTCCCTTCTTTGAGCGCAGTGGCTTGGCCTACTGCCCCAAGGACTACCACCATCTGTTTTCCCCACGCTGTGCCTACTGTGCCGCTCCCATCCTGGACGTAAGTAAACCCCCCGTTCCCCTGCTCTCCTGTAGCTTTTACTCACTCCTTTGGAGCCAGGGTCATGTTTTACAGCTCTGCAGCACCCTAACATCTCTCTGTGTGTTCCTTTTCCAGAAAGTGCTGACGGCAATGAACCAGACCTGGCACCCAGAGCACTTCTTCTGCTTTCACTGTGGGGAGGTGTTTGGTGCAGAAGGTATGACCTTGACCTGCCTTCTTGAACCTGCCCTGGTTGCCTGGGCTTCTGCCACCACCACCCAAGTGCCCATTTCTTGAAAGATGCTATTCCTCTCTGCCTTCTTCCATTTCCCTTTCTCTTTCCGTGTTTTGCATCCTCGGTGTGAGTGAGGAGTTCAAGAATTGTGAGAATAGTCCACAGCTATCTACGTTGAGGGATGTCTTGCAGCTCAGTTTGGAATTCGATATCTATGACATCTCCATGCCTCACATAAATATGGAGCCACACCTAAGATATAGGTATTTAGACAACTGATAAAAGGCCATTTACTAATCAGAAGCTCCTCTTGGGTAGGATTTCTTTTTTCATCCTTTGCTTCCTCTAAGCGGGTCTCCTACCATATGGTTAGTCCATTAATTTAGGTGGCATCCTGCCCTACCCCAAGTCACATGGTCACATGCTGAGCTTCCATAATGACAGCTAAACCAGTGAGCCCCCTGGGAAATTAAGTTCATCTGCATGTTTTGTTTCAGTTCATGACATTCCCCTTTAAGGCTCAAGTTTCTAAGCACATCAGAACATAACATCCTCCCATAGGGACCAGGTCTTCGCTGTCTACCCTTCTTTTTAATTGTTCATTACCCGGGCCATGCAGGTGCGCCCTCATTCCCGTGTGGCTGAGAACCTCGCCAGAGTATAAATGCCCCCCTTCTCTCTGTGGCACTTTTAATTGTTAGTATTTCAAACCCATCCTCCAGAGGTAATTGGCCCCAGAGAGGGCCTCCAGGCAAGTAGGTGCTGAAACTGTCTCAATTTCTTGGACACCGAATGCAGGGGTGTCACAGCAAGTTTGGCTAATTGCTTTTCATTCTTCTCCTGAGACTCACTGGAGTTCAGACAGAGGCTGTCACTTCCCTGCTCTGATTCTTATGACCAGCTACCCACAAATCCCTAGATGAGGGTCATCTAGGTCAGTAGGCATGTCTTACAGTTTTCTCAAGTAACATTGACTTACCATCAAGCTCAGTTTTAGGTCATTTGCATCACCTGAGGACTTGTCAGAAATGCACATTCTCAGGCCCCATCCAGACCTACCGGATCAGGAACTCCGGGGGTGGGGCCCAGCCAGGTGATGGATGCACAAGGACATGCAAGAAATATTGGGGCCACACAAAAGCAAGGAAGGTAGTTGTGCACGTTGGCTTGTTTTCCTTCAATACTAGGCCTTCCCACAGTAAGTTTCACTTGATCACATGTTAGAAATTCTTTGATAAAGTAAAAAGCAGTAAAGCGAGCTCATCTGTGTCTCAGGGAGAACACAGGACAGCTTATAAAGTTATTAGTTTAGATCATTAGACCTATAGGCCTCAGAAGTCTGTTAAACTATCAGCTTTTCCAAGACAGCATCGTTGAACAAGGCAAAGCATATCAAAGAGTGACCGGAGATCATGGAGAGACGGCAGCTCCCTGACTTGGGTCCCAATCCCTGGCTGTCCTCATTGCCTGTTTTTTTTTTTTTTTAATCTGGCTGCTACCATCAAAATAGATTTCAAGAAATAATGTTCTTTGGTGGACTGCTTTCCAATCCATTGAGCATGCTTTGCTTACATGATATTTCAGTGGGCACAGGTAGAGTTTTCATATTTGCAAAGCTATTGGCTTACGATGTTTGTGCTCATCCAGTGCTCTCAGGTCCCACAGAGAGGTCAAGGTCAGGGCGCATTAGGATTTCTTTGTAGTTCTTTTCATCTTCGGAATACATCCAGTAGGACTGTACAGTCAAAATACTGCATTTTAAAGGTACTAGAATGAATGATTGCCTTTCTTTGGTCATATCACCCATTTCCTATGTAGCTACATTAATTCATCTCAGCTTGGCTCCGTTTTTAGGGATAAATTTTATAAAACAATAATTGAAACTACATATTTATTCAGGGACCTTTGTATTTGTTGTATTTCTCTGAGGTACAATTAGCAAATACTTTCCTCAGTTTGTCTTTGTCTTGGCTTTGTTTATGGCGGTTTTTGGTCATGTATAAGTCATTAATATATACTTTTAATGTAGCTAAATTTATTAATTTTTAACTTGCTTTTGAAATTTGAGCCATTTTATGACAGTTCTTATTTCATTCCCAGACTAAAGAAGACTCCATGAATTTTTAATTCAAATATTTGTATGGTTTGAATTATTACATTTAGATCTTGCATCCACTTGGAAACTCTTATTTCACAGTACTTTATTTTTAAACATCAGGCAGTTTTTCCCTGGTGCCGTTTTAGATATTAGGGATAGAGTGTGACAAGACCAACAAAGTCTAGTTTCTCTCAGAGCTAATGTTCCAATGAGGAAAGACAGACCACGATGATGATTTCAGATCATGGTAAATGCTGTACAGACAATGAAGAAGATGAAGTGGCAGAAATGGGCTGGGTGAGATGATTTTTTAGCTCGTTTATGAATGGCAAGGTGAGGCCAGCCACATCGAGGCCTGGGCCGGAACTGTCCAGGCCGACGGAAGAGTTAGTGCTAAGGCATCGAGGAGCAATAGCTCAGAGCTCACTGGGCACCGGCATTGTCCGGGTGGTTGTCCTATCAGCCCTCTGCTGACTCTGCATGCATTTCTCATTGCAACCCTTTGAGGGAGGCACTTCTTGTTAGCCTCGTTTGGAATAGCCCGGGTTTGGGAGAGTTCAGAATCGTGGGCTTCTTCTCACCCTCCGACTTGGTGGAAAGTCTCAAACAGCAACAGTGAAGCCTTGATTTTCTCTCTCCAGGCTTTCACGAGAAGGACCAGAAGCCGTACTGCCGGAAGGACTTCTTAGCCATGTTCTCACCCAAGTGCGGGGGCTGTAACCGCCCGGTGCTGGAAAACTACCTTTCAGCCATGGACACCGTGTGGCACCCAGAATGCTTTGTCTGCGGGGTCTGTAGCCTCGGTTATTTCTTGGGTTTAAGGAAGCCAGGGGTTCTTCTTTCTGAGAGGCAGAGCTGCTAGTACAGATCGCAGCTCGAGACGAGGGATTGATGTGGGCTTCCGAAAGGGGACGGGAGGCATAGCATTCGTTGTGGCATTTGCTTGTCTGTTTTGCAAGTGGGACATATTCTAGCCTCCATGTGTCAAGGACCCAAGTGAGTTCCCGCTCCCGGCAGGTAACTGGCGGGAATTTCTAGGCTGAACGTTTTACTCTGCTGATGTTTCATTCTTGACACCGC